GCCTGCTGCCATGAGAGGATGAGGGTGGGTGGGAAGGGGAGCGGACGTAAGGTGGGACCAGTCTCATCCCTCAGCAGCGGGGCTGCCCTGTGCTTGTGAATATGCTGTAAAGGGGATTTCCCCGGGATGGAGACTGGTGGAATTGACTGTAGCCGTTTGTTGCCCGCTGGGCTAGGCAAGGGATCTCTCTCTCTCAAAGGCACCCATGAGCTGATACCTTGCTCTAGACTTGCGTTGAGGCCTGGCCATTGCCCGTGGCCAGGCTGATGCTGACCCAGCTGGGCTCTCCCAAATACTGCACTTTGAATTGCCGTTGGCTTTTTACCGCCAAATAATCAGGATGTAGATGATGCTCTCAAGTTCATACAGCTTTTAGCTTCCTTTGTTTTTTAGAGCATGAGTCTTGTTTTTTCTTAAATCATCTGATATCTCTTAGCTCTTTGTGCTACTGAAAGATGAAGTAGCCTCTTGCCAAACCAATTTTTCTCATGGCTTCCAAATCTCCTCTTGACTTTTCTTCTTTGCTGAAGCCATGTTCTCTCCTCTGTCCCTTAACTGCATCCCCACTGGAAGCCAGAGCTGGCCGTGCTGCAGACTGCACTGGGACTGCAGAAATGTAGAAAAGTTGTGTATTTACCCTGATTCATGTTGTCATGGTCTCTCCCTTTTTGATTTTTGTCCGCATGGAACTTCTGCAGCTTGAACTCTGAGTGTTAAGTAAGTCAATGAGCTTATTTTAAAGAAGTAATTTGGACAGATTTTTCTTTTCCAGGGAAACGTTGAATTTGAGGCCTCATTCCTGTCACTGTGAATGGAATTAGTGTGGGATTGCCTGGAAAAGCTCAGCCTGACTGTCTCGGTATCAGCTTAGCAGCTGAAGCAATGTGAATGAGATTGTGCAGGGCATGTTATTTTTGAGAGGCTTGTGATGGAGTGTCACAGCAAGTGCTGGGGAAGTGGCTGCCTCTGACCAGGGGTCGGGCTTTGTCCCTTAAGGGACCATACAACTGAAGGAAATTCCAAGTGGGTGATACAGAAGGGATCTCCTGCCAAACTGGGGCTTGGCTTTATCTTTTGCTCAAAGAGTTTGGACGTTGAGGCTTTGGAGTGAGAAGGATGTAGGCTTGTGGCTATACCAGCCTCACAGCTTGTCTCTCTCACATTGTGGCTCACAGGTGCAGCTCTGCAGCTGGCAATAGCAGGAGGATGAGAAGTGGAAATGAAGTTGGGAGTGTTGGTGCACATGCAGCTCGCTTGGAACTGGCTATGTTAGTCTTGTCCCTTAAAAGACCAGAGCTAGTGCGTCTGTAGCAGGGCAGGACTCTGCCTTGTTAAGGTACTGCCTTCTCAGTGGCAGTCTGGTTGTGACTTGCTCTGCAGAAGCATGAACTCTGTTCTTCACAGGGTGAGATGTGGCTTCCTGTGGGGATTGCATGTACTTAAGCTTAAGTCCTCGCACTATGACACAAAACCAGCTCCTGGTATCTTTTTCTGCAGCGTGCCTAGCTGCATGAGGCGTCTTCTACCTCTCCTAGCACAAACAGTATGCAACTGGCCAAAGCAAACATACGCTCTCTTTGCTGGGGAGCAGGACAGGGTATCTGAAGCTGATTACATAGCCTATAGATGGAATAGTGATTTATAATAGACTCTCTTTTGCACTTTTGATTTAGAAAGGGAAAATAACCCCAGAAGTTCTACTAATAGCTGGAGAAAGTAGTGAATCTGCTCAATCGCATCTGCACAAGCAGTGTGGGTGAGGTGGTGGGTGCTGTTTCCTACCAGCACAATTGTGCACTGGGCGTGGGTTTGAGTGTTTGGTGGAGACTGTGATAAGCATCAGGACTTTTCTGCAGTGGCCATTGCAAGCTGTGAGGCCATAGACTGGGCAGCTGTGGTGCTAACCGACTGTCCGGGAGACGCCAGTGCAAATATGAACTTGTGACTTAGAGTATCACCCCGCTGCCCTTCCTGGATGTAACCTACCTATGTAGCACAAGGGCCTGCATAGCTTATGAAGCGGGCCTGCACTTACGCAGTCAGATTTAGTCTTAAGATTCACATAGTTAAGGCAATTAGGGAACAGGGAAGTCGCTATGGGAAGAGAAAAAACTGGAGGATTCTGAATCAGAATACTGGATTATAAAACAAGTCGATCTTGTGATTGTCTAAAGCCTGTGGAAAAAGCTTACTGCTAGATGGATATAGCTTTAATCGAAGTCAACCAGCAACAAGCTACTGTCGGTTAGTAGGAGCAGAATGAATTTGAAAATTGGAATTGAGAAAATGTGTTTATTTTGTGGTTTGCTGTGGGATTTCTTTTCTTCCACTGCTTTGGGATACCTTCTTCGGGGGAATGGCACATGCACAGCTACTTAGTTTGCCAAATGCATATCTCTTGTCCCTAATGCACTGGCATTAGGCAAGAGCAATTGGCAAGAACATATAGATATTTAGTGGCAAGAAATGAGGGCATTTCATCCAGAAGCAAAACGTCTGTGAGGGGCAAAGCTGGATGAGGAAAATCTTGTGCTTAGAAGCTGCTGCCCTTTTGACTCTGCCTTGTTTGTGTTAATACATGGGTGGAGAAAATGATGCAACTATTTTTTTTATCCCTTCTTCCTGGACTGGTAAAACCACTGAGTGATTATGTAAACCACTAAACTATGAAACAAAATTCTCTTGGCAACAGTGTGTGCCAAGAAATTGCAGCTTGGCATCCTTATCCCCTGGATCTCCTCCATTCTCTTGCATCAGAACCAACTGGGCTGGTGCCCTGTCTTCCAGTGCTCTGATCCAGAAGGCTTGCTGGTTTCTGGTCCACGCATTTCAACAGACTAACCGCTGTGCCTAGTAAAAGGCCTGAGTTTCATTCTGTGTTTCACCTCATCTGTCATTTATTTTATTATATTAACCTCTCAAAGAGAAACTTTTGTAGATTTCAAACTATAACCACAAATCAAAGCCTGGCTTTAAATATAAAGGTCTAACTCTTCAGGGAAGAAACTACTGTTTTCCCTATGCTAATTTGCAGGGTGTGAACGGATACTGGGAAAGCACCACTCCATATTAACACTTTCTTTGCCTGTGTTTATTCCCCAGGTGATGCAATGGCTGTTGTGTGATAGCTTGTTGGCTTTATAGATTTAAGCTCTGATAAAGGAACTGCAGATCTATAAAAAATACCCCAAACTACCCTCCTCTTCCTTAAGAGAAGTTTCACGCATTTGCTTGAAATTGTTTCTGCTCGTTCATCACAGATTGCAAAAGATGAAGAAAGTAGGGAAGATCTTCTAGCCTGCTGATGCAGAAAAAGGGCTGGGGCTGCTTTTAAAGAATAGCTTTTTGCTATGCAGTGCTGCCTTGTCTAGATCAGACTCCGTTTCTTTGAAATCCCTGGAAACCTATTGATAGGCTCTGGGTTGGACCTGGAGGGGTTTATTGTGATAGTGCTAACTGGAATTCTTCAAGCCTTTGTTCTATGTGTACCTCATGGCACGTGTTATATTCTGGGCAGCAGCTGCCGATTAACCTACACTTGTCAAGTTCATAGAAATAACGTAATCACCTGCAGCAGTCAGTCCCTTCTTCAGCAAAATGTGCGGCTGGGCAGCCCAGCAGGTAGTTGCCAGGGCCTGTCTGCTCTCCAGTACATGGTGGTTGAGAAGTCAGGTTCCTGGACCAAAAGTGCATCTTCTAGTCCATGTCCCAGTGTCCTTATAGCATTCACTTGAACTTCGCAAGAGTCCCAACCCCTGCCGTTTCCACTGTTTCATGTAAAGGGTCTGTGCGTTCAGGAATCCACTATTCTTTTCTCCTTGTGACACAGATACTACTTGCTGCTTTTAACAAGGCTAAGGTGAACTTCTTGTGCATCTAACCAGCCCCTAGCCTCTACAACACTGTAGAGTTGTTTTATGTTGTGCACAACAGTCTGTATCTATGGCATGCTCTGTAAGCCATGATGCGTGTGTGGTATGTTGGGTTTGGTTTGCTGCCTGCCCTACTGTTAATACTGTTGCAAGGTGATTTTCAAGGGGTAGGAGAAAATAGTTCACTTCTGACTACTGTCTATAGGACCTAGGAATTGTTTTCTCATGACTTCTTGGAGGTCTGTGTATCTGCAGCACTCAGACCAGAGAATAAAAGAGGATCTGCTGTCTGCCAGCACTGGGGTGTCCCTAGTACTTATTGTATACTCCCCAGTTTTTGTCCATTTTTAAAAATTAATCTAGTAATTCACTCCTTCCTCTGAGAGAAGAGCTCTCACTTCCACCAAAGCGTTGTAGGAGAAATAGCTGAAAATCCATGCGTGTGTTTCCCTTAGGGGTCCATTTCTGCTAAACACATGCTAGGTGTGGTGGGTGGCAGGGCTGAGCGTTGCCAAAGTCAGAGGGCCTTGCCAACAGTTTTTTCAAGCTTTGTTTCCTTCTTCCCCTTAAATCAATGAGAAAATGGACCACCTCACCTGGCTGTCACGTCAGCCAGTTCGTTTGTGCCAAACACGCCCTGTGCCTTTACGGTGGGTTCTGGCCTGCCTGCCCTCTGTGTCCCCGCAGTGTCTGCCTTTCTGAATGTAGCAGTACTTGTTCCCCCCTCCTCTCCCTCCTTCCCCTTGCCTACTGGTGGGACATTGCTCTGTTTCCAATCTGCAGGCAGCTCCACTGGGACAGTCTCCAACTGCATCCGTCTCACTGTGTGGATCCACATCAGCCTTTCTGCATAGGGAGGGGAAGCCTCTAATTCCAAACAGAAGTCTTAAAAATGTAGCTTTGAAATAAAACCCGTTTTCTTCTGGGGTTTTCTCTTGCTCTTGAAAACAGCATCTAAAGCAGCTCTTTGAGCTAAATGTGTCCTGGGACTCTGCTGCTGTCACTGAGTTTGAGAAGACCCTTAAGCACACAACACACGTGGAGATCCTGTGGGAATTACTGATGTCAGAGCAGCAACTAGACCAGCAATA